CATTAGATTGTAGAGACCTTACCAGCAAACATTCTACTGTGATGAGTATATTTAACAGTAGTCTGTAATGTCCCTGGACCCCGGTCACAGATCCGAGTGTGCAGTTCCAAGCAGTTCAAGTTGATGGTGGTTCAGGATGAGGAGGAGCTACAGGAACTGGAGTACCTCAGCATTTGGAATTTGATGCAGCTTTTATTACGAGAGCGCTCCAATGAAACCACCATCGACATCAGCCTCTTCCGTGCCAAGACCTGCTTCCGGGTTGACCCAGTTGACCATGAAAATCTGTACACCGTTAAGGTCATGCGAAGTAAGTGGCATTTTGACTCCTGCTTTTTGTGTTTTATTTGCTGGATCCCAAGTTAACCACATTCTCTTTCGTAGGGTTTGACATTTACCTGTTCTCTGTATTTCTGGCTGGATTACTGTTGTTCATCTTTGCAGACATGCTTAGCAGGTAACACCATATTAACCAAGCATTTAATGAAATATTTATTGATTATTTTAATGTATTAATTGTTGTATGTTAATGACATCCAGGATATTTGGTTGAAAAATTGGTTATCTTGGGTGGACTGGTGGCCCAGTGGTTGGCATTGTTGCGTCACTCTCCTGGGACTGGCGTTCAGGTCTCCACCACCATGGCTCCATGTGTGTTTGCATGTTCTTCCCATGTTGTGGGATGTGCTCTGGGTCCCCCACCATAGTCCAAAAACATGCTAAGGTGAATTGGAGTTATCAGATTCCCCACAGGTGTGAATGTGTGTGTGTGTGTGTGAGTGTGCAGTGCCATGGGTTAACTCCCCATCCTGGGTTGTTCCCAGCCTGTTTCTGTAGCTTCCAGGATAGGCTCCAAACCTACGTGACCCTGAATAGCATAAGCGGGTACTAAGGATGGATGGAACTGCTTATCCTGCCCTGGTTATATTGTCACAATTTTAAGACTCAGTGATGATAGAACTGAATCTGATTGTGAAATTCATGTCTGTGCTGGAAGTTGTCCGTGAGGGTGAACATGCAGGGCAGTACCTGTCTCGGCAGGTTATGTCTCTGGGTCTATGGCACATCGGGGCCATGTACACTAATGAGTATCCTTGTATTCAAACATGATGCTTGTTTTAGGCAATGTGGCTTGGATAGAAGTTAATAACATTAATCCCAAACCCTTAAAACACCTAATCCCAAATACTGACCAAGGGGAAAGGGAGAAACAACTAACCTTCTATTCTGACCCCCAGGTCCACTATCAGTTATCATTATTTTGCATAAGGCTCATATACTGTCCATAGTTTCAAGATAATTTTTCTTTTTCTTACTTTACAACAAATACCTAGATGTTTAACATTATTTTTACACTGTGTATGTCCAGCTCTGGAAAAAATTAAGAGACCACTGCATTTTTTTATAATCTGCATTTTTAAATCCCGGTTTAATGCTGGTTCTGCTGACAGAAAGGTATAGAGCAGCAGGTTGCTTTGAGGCTCAATTTCAGCAGTACAAATAGCAGCACACAAGAACAAGGTGAAGCAGGAGACACTGGCAATAACCAAAAGCCAGCCAGGTAGAGGGCAGAAGCAACTTTCTAATGCCAGAGATGACTGTCAACTTATCTGGCAGTGCCTCATAAATCGCAGGATGACCTCAAGTGACCTTGAAAAAGAATTCATAACAGACTCCTAGAAGCAGGACTGAAGACCCATAAAGCAAGGAAGAAGCCCTTCATCAAAGAGAAGCAGGGAAGAGCCAGGTTGTAGCTTGCAAAAAAATAAATTATTCACAGATGCACATTTATAGATTGAGAAATGAGTGAAACTGAACATTTTTCTGTAACCTAATTTTTTTTCCAGAGCTGTATGTATGCAGATTGTCATTCATGTCAGTGACCGGTCAATCGCATAAGCATTTTGTGTGATTTCTCCCGCAGGAGTCAGGTGTTCTACTATTCGGCAGGAATGACCACAGGCATGGTTGCCTCCCTCATCATCCTCATCTTCATCATGGCTCGCCTGCTGCCTAAGGTTTGTAGTCAAATGAATTGCCACATAACCAGTTTAGCTTTATGGGTTCGTTAGCTCTGTGTTCATTTAATAATTTAGTCCTTGGTGTATTTGATATAAAAAGTCCTGCAGAACACTGACTTATTTTGATGTTATGTTTCTTTTCCCCTGTTTTTCAGCGAAGCCCCTTTTACGTGTTGATAGTGGGAGGTTGGTCCTTTTCTGTCTACCTGATCCAGCTGGTGTTCCGGAACCTCCAGCTCATCCTTAAAGAGCACTGGCACTTAGCCTTAGGTAGGGCTACGTACTGAAGTTACCAGACACGTCTCCTTTGTAAGCTTCCTTTCCACAAGGTCAGTCGTCAGAGAAATGAGAGAAAAATCCTAACATGGTTAAAAATGAAAAAATGCACATCTTATGGGGGGGGGGGGGGGGGGGTGGTTTGTTGCAGTCTTTTCTGTGATTGTGGTGTTTTTACTGCAGGTTACACCGCAGTGGTGGGATTCGTCAGCTTTGCTGTGTGCTACCGCTATGGCCCCCTAGTGGAGCAGCGCAGTATTAATATCCTGTCCTGGGTGCTGCAGCTGTTTGGCTTGCTGCTGGTTTATGCTGGGATCCAGGTGCAGCAAGTAGCACTTGCCATTATTATCGCTGCTTTCTGTTCCAAACACCTAGAGCACCCTGTTCGGTTAGGGTTCATTGTGTACAGGTAAGTGTGTATGTCATCAGCTCTAATTTAAGCTATTATTTTTCTTTTGTGCTGCAAGTTCACCTCCTGCTGTTATATTTTCGACAGCAAGCTGAAGCCCAGCTGGCCCCGGAAGCTGGAGCCCCGTCGCCTTCTAACTGAAGAAGAGTACCAGAAGCAGGCGGAGGTGGAGACACAGTACGCCTTGGCAGAACTTAGGGAATTCTGCAGTAGTCCTGAATTCAACACCTGGAAGACTGTGTCTAGACTCCAGTCCCCTAAGAGGTAAATGGAGAGTCATGGGTGAGGCAGCATGACCAGCCACAAGTTCTGATACTGATGTGCTGATCATCTCACGCAGGTTTGCAGACTTCATTGAGGGCTCCCCTCATCTGATGCCGAATGAAGTGTCTATCCATGCCCAGGAGTATGGTCTTGGAGGGTCCTTCTTTGAGGAAGAGCTTTTTGCTACAGATGAGGATGAAGAGGATGAGGATGAGGAGCATGACCAAATGAGAAAGATTGAAGGAATGCAGAAAGACTACCTCAGGAACCACAGAGGTGTGTAAGGGAGGCCAGCTGGAGAGGGACCTGGGGCGGGGCCAGAACAATTTCGGAAGATGCTGGAACATCAGAAACCAACAAGCCCTCAATGTCTCCATAGTGCTGCAAACATCTGGCAACGTGTCTGTGAAGTCTCATGGTGGCTATCAAACTTTCTATTCTGAAGTTTTTGTATAATATGGTTGGTTCAACTCAGGACAGGAGATGTCTAAATCTATCCCAGAACCTGCAATATTATTGTTTTATTTTTATATTGACGGTACTTTGTTTTAGATGGTCTGGTAGTCCACAGAACCAGTGATCTAAGCCCATCTTTTTAAACCCAGTCCCCAGGGACCGCCAGACAGTCCATATTTTTGCCTTCAGTGATCTTGATTGCTTGGTTCAGGTGTTTTGGGAGCTGGGAGGGAGCCAAAATGTGGATTATCTGGAGGTCCCAGAAGACTGGGTTTGAGAAACACTGTTCAAAGTCAAGCATAGAAGCCAACTAGGACCATTCAGTGTTTTTGTAGTAGGTCCAGCTTCAGATCTTGTCCCCTCTAAAAGCTTCCCAGTTCAGACTAGGTGGAGTTCTGTCAAGATCGTTACCAAAACATATTTGTTTAGAAATTGTTGGTGACTTACTGATCCAAATTGGTGCCATACCTTTTAAATCGCATCCATAAGCAGTTAGGTCTTAAGTGTTTGTGCATGTTAGTTTTTCTCCTTTATATATTTTTGTGTATCATAATATTGTCATTTTGTAAAGGTTTGTTTTTTGTGGAGGTAAATTTCCCAAATGAATGCTTAAAAGCTTTGCCCTTCGTTTCATTTTTGCTTAACTTATTGTGCTTTATGGTTCAGTAAGTCACCATGGCATTTGAGAAACTGGTAAAATTTGTATATGCATACTAATAGGATCATGGCATATGATCTAACGTTTCTGAGAGACATAAATGAGTGCAATTCATTTTTGCAGAATATATGATCCTATTGGATTGTCTCCCTCAAACATGCATATATATATATATGAAGCTTAAAAGAACTTTAAGGAAAACAAAACACCTTGCAACATTCCCTGTATTTTAAAAGGTCAGGTTCATGATTGTTGTCTTTAAATTTTGTGGACATTTCTGTTTTAAAATCCGATCTGTATTGCACTGTCACTTATAATTAGAAGTTTACCATGTGAAAGTGAACTGAAATTCCAACTCCTTGTTTTGACACAATATTTAAGTTACTGTAATGCATTACTGATTTTAGGACTTTTTTTTTTATTTTAAATTTGTCGACAAATATTTTGTTGTTTTGTTATTATTGTTAATTCATTGGCCTTTCTCTCCTGTATATATAAGTTTCTGTCACGGTTGTATTTCTAAATTTTGTTTCAACTGTGAAACACAATTCTAATTTCACTCTTGTTTTTTTGTGTGTTTACCTACCTGATGTGGATGGGGACGAGTAAAAATAAATATATTTAAAATATGTTCTGGAATCTACACTGTATTTTTTCACTGTAAAGTATAACTAAAATGTATGAAGCAGAATGGAACAATTGCAGTGCAAGTTGTGTGAAAGATATGAAACGCGCATTTCTGCATCAGTTAAGGCGTGATTATAATAACAAGCATTGTGCAGGCATTCAGCATGTAAATACTGAAAACTGCCGCTACGCCAAACGCATTAGCGACGCCCCCAGAGACCTTACCTCATCCTGCCGGATTCCCTGCGCCTTATGGCCGGCCTCAGCTTACCCACTTCCGCCCCTCACTGCCAGGGAACCGGCCGGGGGGCGCTGCGCTGCGCTGCTTACCGGGAAGTGAACAAAAACAAGCGAGGAGCAGCGATCGCTACCGGGAGCAGGACACGGAGGGGCAGAACCGCGAGCTTATGATGGACCATGGTGACAAAACTCATGCACTCCATAATATAAGCCTGACGCTTGGTTGTCTTGACAATAATAATAATAAAGCCCGCTTGCTGACCCGGACGTCAAGAAACGCTGCATAGGTAACTGAAAAGCAGCTAGCTGCAGCAGCTCTAGGCTGCAGATATTTATAACCTTAATCTCTAGACAACTGCCACAAATGTTCCGATAGTAGATCAGCTGGCAGGGTCTTTTCTTAGGTAGCTTTATGAATTGTACCAACGTGCAGCTGCGTTTTGGATACATTAAAACAAGGGTGGCTATTCTCGATAATTCAGCTCGCATCCGCCCTACGTAGCGATGAAGCGGGATGGACTGACAGGTCTTTTCCAGAGTACAGTTTGCATGGTGGTCTTTCTCTCCTTGAAGTAGGCTGTAGCCTGGCAGATGATCGCCGCTCACCCCGATGCACCGGCGGCCCGATCATTACGCTATGCGAGTGGAAAACACTGCATTTTGCATAAATGTTAATCAGATGTACGCAAGCAGACGGATTCATTTCAGACAACACAAATAAGTAATAATTTGATTAATGTAAAAGTTTTACTCTACTGTTTACGGCGGTGATATAAATGAATTTACCGTGACTTGTTTATCTTAGTTCTACATGGTCATGTCGCTGAATGCATTGTTAAATGCTAACGTTGCCTGATAGCAGCTTATTATTTTAATATTTGGCGTATTGCCGAAGACGGTTACATTCGCAGTTGTACAGTTTAATTATCATGGCATTTCATGAGCGCTTAACTTAGGTTAGTAGTAATGTACATTTTCCAGTAAACTAATTCTGTGTAAACTTTTGTGAGAAAGCCAAGGTATTTGCTTGTCCTCGTTAACGGAGCGATGTGTGTAATGAACTGCTCATTGCTTCTTAAAGGCACGGCTTTTTTGTTTCTCTGCCCTCTCTATTTCAGCAGGTTTGGGCAATTCGGTGGGACATGAGGGCACTGGAAGGAGAGGCATGGGATGGAAGTGCCTTGCGGTGTGGGCGTGAATGCACAGGAGATGGAAAATGGATTCAGGAGGGCAGGTGGTGGTGACAGCAGACAAGGAGAAAGCTTATACCAGGAGTATCACTGTAAACCTGATGCATCCTCTCACTTAAGGACAGTTGAAGGTTTCATGGGCCAAGATGGACTGTCGGTGCCCCCTGTGAAGAAAGTGAAGACATGCAGCAGACCAAGGGAGTACTGGCAGGACCAGAAGATGATTGAAGGGCAGGTGGAGATTAAGATGAATTTTGAGCCTATGTTGGCTGAGTTGTTAGATGTTAAGCTAGGGGAGATGTTTGAACAGACCAAGTCAGATTTTGACATCCCTTTGTCCTCGTCCTCATCCCATCTGGTCAATGGAGTCATACATGGTGATTGTGGGAGGGGATGCTGGCACCATGATTCAGGGGAAGAAAGACCAGACAGTCTTGACCTTAGTTCCTCTTCCATGGAGACTTGTCCGCAAGATGGAGGAAGCACGTTGGGGTTTGGAAAACCAGAGGAGGACGAGATGGCCTCAAGAGAAGAGGAGAGTGATAGATTTTTTGGACTTGGTGACTGGGGGAAATCGGGCCAAGGTGCAGGTGAGGGGGAGGAGGACCAGAAGGGTGAAGGAAACAATGGTGGCGGTTCAAGGACATGCAAGGATCCAGGGGCGCAGCGATTTGGGGACAGAAAAAGAGTCCGGGCCCGTGGTGGCAAGACGGCCATATCGGGAGAGCGGGACCTGAGTCATCAGCAGCACTCATTCTCATTTTCCAAACCAGCGCCTTCTGGAGGGCGACACCGGCAAGCCAGGAGACGGACCAGCCACCACCACCACCACAGCAGATCTGATGGCTCTGCTCTGTCCCGTCTCTCCCAGAGCTGCCGAAAGCTGCTGTCTGAGTCCCTGTGCCCATGGTGCCTGTCTTATGTGTGCATGGTGGTGGATCTCATCGTTTTAGTGGCCCACCACTGTGGCGAAGTGGTGGAAGGTGTCGGGGTTGCGCTCTACCTTTCGGTTGGCCGGCTGCTCTGCAAGGCTGCAGACCTGTCCGCCGTGAAGGCGGAGGCCAGTCATTTGCTGCATAGGTTGACCTCCGCTGGAGTGGCTTTAGCAACCTGGAGTACAAAGATGGCAGCACATGGCTACGGGGCATGGCTTTTCTGTCTCAGGGTTCTGTACATTGCCTTGCTCCTGGGCACTGGGTGGGTGAGAGGCTTCCTGGGCAAGGTAGCTGCGGAGAGGAGCTGCCGGTGGTGGGATTCACTTCGGCGCTCAAGAGCTTGGGCATGGATGGTGAAGATGTGGGGCAAAGCCCAGACAGCTATGGGGAGGACTGGCCTTCCAGAACCACCCTTTATTCCCAAGCCTCCCAATGACTCAGGGAGAAGTTACCCTGAACATGAACTGGAGCGCCTGCTTGCATTAGCAGAGGTTCCCGAAGAGGAGCTGGATCCATTTGTCGTACTGGGAGTAGAAGCTGACGCCACAGATCCTGAACTGAAGAGAGCCTACAGGCAACTGGCTGTTCTCGTAAGTTACTTTGTAAATATAAACACAGTGTTTGTTTCCATTTTAATGACATTGCAATGTACAGCAGGAACACTAGGTGGCAGTAAAGTATTGCTAATATATGGTACACTGCAAATCTGGAGCGCTTTAGTAACGCAATGTGACCTACTAAGCGTTTGACTGCCCTAAAACTTCTCTATCATATTTGTATTTCAACGATCTAGGTTCATCCAGACAAGAACAAGCACCCGTCTGCTGGAGAGGCCTTTAAGGTCTTGAGAGCAGCCTGGGATATTGTTAGCTGCCCAGAAATGCGCAGGGAGTACCAAATGTGAGTAACAAAACAATTCCTAAGTTAAAAAAAAAAAAGTTTTCTTAGACGATAGGATTCAGGCTGTGAAACGCATAAATCTAATATATGCAAGAAATTTAGTTTGAATATATCATATACTTACTGGTTAATGGACCCCATAAGATTTTGTTATATTTAATTAGAACCATACAGGATATTAATGTATGTTGACCTTGGATTAAGCCTTTAAGTATTAATGTAACCATATCATACTGATGCATAATTATTTTGTAGCAAGAATAAGAAATTGATTTGTTTATAGTGATCTTTTTAAAAGGAAGAACTTGGGCATTGTAAGATAAGCACTTGAAATTCATCAAACACAGTTTATGTTATTTGTTGTATTCATTTGGTTTATGAAGTGCAGACTTAGCCATGAACAAGGACATTTAAAATGAGCGCCAGTATGTCACGGAGGTCCCCCTAGACTGATTTACCAAAGTGTTGTCTTCTTACATAAATTGAATACTGTTTAATGTAGCCCAAGTAACTCATTTTTTTTTGAGATTACCAAGTTATGAGGAAAATATTTATAAAAGAATAAAACAATGATTTTTTTGTTGTTGGGTTTCAACACAATTCCATGCAATGCAGTATAACAACACCAGGGGCAGTAAAGGCCGTTTTATGGCGCGCATAGTATGGTTTTTATGTTTAATATATGGTAGTTTGATTTATTATTTACAGCCTCTGTCCTGTTGTCTTGTCCCTCAGGAAGCGCATGGCAGAGACTGAGCTGTCTAAGTCCATGAACGAATTTCTCACCAAGCTGCAGGATGATCTAAAGGAGGCCATGAACTCCATGATGTGCACCAGATGCAATGGCAAACACAGGTGTGTTCGGGCAGCGTAGCCTCAGACTGATGGAGAGCCCTTGGTTTTGCATCATTAATTGTCTTTGGGCGGCAGTTAGGGATGGGTATCGACACCGATACTGCTTTTCAATGCCGATACTTATCGATACTCTTATCAGTACTACTCTCCATAATGTGGTGCAAAAAATAGACATGACACGAGGTGAAGAGATTTAACAGTTATTTTAGCATAACTTTATTGCTAAAATAAGTTAGTTTCCTGTATTCCTGTAGTTATGCTGTACTATCCTGTTAGTGCCAGATGGAGAAGGTTGAATTTCAGACTGTATTTCAAACCACTGAAATATTGGCAGCGTATTTGTAAAGCGAAAACAAAAGGACAGAATATTACCTCTTGAATTATGAAGATGGCATTAAAACACATTGAATGTTTCCAACTGAATTTGTTTTCTTGAAACTTATATTGAAGCGAAAGTAAATGTGCTGAATTCAGGTGACTTAATTTTAAAAATGAACTTCATAAACTGTTTATTTTGGAACTGAATACTTTTGCATTGATTATTTTACCAATGAAATTACAACTGAAATATTTTCAGTTGAAATATTCTGTTTAAAAGTACATTCACATTAAATTGCAACCCTCAAATATTCAAACTTTTTGAATGCAAATTTCATTTATTCAGTTAGTGTAGTTCAACGTGCATTTTTGCATCATTTACTAAAGTGAGCTCACACTTTTGAATGCTTTACCCTATCTGCCATGATGACTGGAGAGGACAGTATAAAAATACGCACCTGATGATCACATGACGTCTGCAGCGTCGTCGTCATTAGGGGACAGTTTAGAATTTAAAAACGCTGCTATGTTAGGGTGCTTTTCCACTGCAACAGGTACGATACTTCTAGTACGGTACTTTCGGCACTTTCCCTTTTCCATTGACTCCCATTGACCAGTCATGTTCCAGTACCGAAAGTGCCAAACTGGGTTGCTTTTTTGGTACTTCAGTACTTTAGGATGGGACTTGAAATGCTTTCTTTGTCGTTTTGGTTATGCAAATAGCCTGCCACTGAAATAAGACATAACCACAGTCTTGGAAAAAGTTGCAAACTCAGAGAATAAGGATAAACAAAGTAAAAAATATATAAAAGTAACAATAATGGATACATGGACAAATGAAAAACCAATGATTTAGTTGGAAGAACAGATACAAGAAGATCAGGATTTCAGGGACAAGAAATAAAGTATTTTGTATAATATACTAGGATGGCACGGTATTATTTTGTTATAATAATTATTGGGGTATTTATAAAGCAAAAAGAAGTTCAACATACATTTCTCACAAACCCGTCCAGGAGTGAGTTAAACAGCAAGAATGAAATTGATTATGATTGTCTCAGAGAACGCATGCAAAAGCAGTTAAACTTCAGTCTGATTTCAAAACCTTTATTAGATAATCCGTAAAAAGGAATAATAAATAAAATTGCAAAGCTAGCTAAGTTTTTTTTTCCTGTGACAAAATAGAAATGTTTTAACGAAACAAACTCCCTTTGCTATAATGTCAGTACAGAATTGAAAGTAAGAAAAGGCCTGATCTTAATCTAGCTGACTAGCGATGTAAGAACTGCATGTGCATAACATGTGATGTTGGTATTGATATTGTACACCATGCAACTGTTTAATATACTATAGCCTTTTTTTGTATTCAGTACAAAATACCCTGCCCTGTGTTGTGATGTTATTCAGTGCTGGTACCAGTTTTTACACCAGTGGAAAACATTCTTTAAGTACCAAAAGTACGGTACTTGATGCGGTGGAAAAGTACCTTTAGAATGAATTAACGGCAGAAGCACTGATAGTGGCACCATTTGTCCAGGAGCTTATCGATAGTATCAGAATCGGCCAGTCCCGAACCAGTACCAATTCAGTACCGGTTCTCGATACCCATCCATAGTGGCGGTGCCAGTTCCTGACCAGCCTGGTAAAATGATTCGCGAGTGGGAGCTCTAAGCAGCACGCTGGGAGATCAGCAGATGTATATTCTAATACATGCGTCTTAGAAACACCCAAAGGAGTAACAAAAAAATGATTAAATGATTTGCTAATCTGCAAATGTACATATTTAGACATTTCTTGGTTTGTTTCTTCTTGTCCTGTCTGTGACACACTGTGCTTTCCTGGGAATTTTAAATGTATATTATGTGTACACAAATATATTTACATCTAAATCTAGATAATATATATCAATTCTATCAATTAAAAGGCATCACAACTAGTCATAACAGAATGTAGATCTGTGTAAGCGATCATTAGTAAATATTTCTGTTTTTTTGTGTGAAGGCGGTATATGCAAGATTATCGTGTCTTGATCTGACCGCTCTGAGTATCCTTTACAGTTTTTTAGACCCTCTGTTTCACTGCTGTGTATGGGCAGATTCCATTGAGTCATGTAAGAATTATCATTTTGAACAGGGGGATCTTTTTGTATGTGTATGCGTGTGCCTGTGTGCGATTGCGCAGGAGGTTCGAAATGGAGAGGGATCCCAGCCAGGCCAGGTTCTGCGCCGAGTGCAACAAGCATCACGGCGTAGAAGATGGTGACCTCTGGGCCGAGTCCAGCATGCTGGGATTGCGTATAACCTACTTCGCCTTCATAGACGGGAAGGTGTACGACATCACGGGTAATGCTCAAGCCGTCTGCGGGCTTCTGCTCAGCCGCAGCAGAGAATGAATGAGACCTAATGCTCATTTGCGCCACATGCGTCTCTTCTGGTCTGACATAAAACGTTTAAGATGGAGTCTCCCCCCTTCTCTTTAGAGTGGGCCGGTTGCCAGCGGATTGGAATTTCTCCCGATACTCATCGCGTGCCCTACCACATCTCCTTCAGCTCGAAGCACGCCACTGGCGCTACGCAGCAGAAGTAACGTTACATTTCGGCCTCCGGCTGATTTGCACAACTGCTGGTTTTATCCGTGCTGTGTTTTGTGGCGTGATAGAACTATTGCCATTATACCTCTGAAAGTGATTCTGATCTTCTCCAGGGCTTCTTCTGAGCCGCCTCCTGGACCAAGCTCTCCCGCCGACCTTTGGGACGTCTTCAGTCGCATTTTCCAGGGAACAGTTCCTAATGGCACTGCAGCCGGTGGAGGCTTTTATCCCCCCTCGCCCTCGTCCTACCAGCCCAATGGTTCAAACACCTCTTTTCCGACCTCTGCATCACAAACGGGACCCTTTGGCCCAGGGGGGCCCAAGGCTGAGGGTCCCAAGCCTTCCCGCAGGAGAAAGAAAGTACGCAGGCCATTCCAGCGCTGAGCAGAGTTTAACAACTGATGTTTTATGTCTTAGGAGCCTCTGCATTTGCCCTCCACACCTCTAGACATTTATGAGAAGGTTCGTGGACAAGGCTACTGACTCTTAAATGGAGGGGAAGGGATAGTTTGTTCCATTTTTGTTTCTTTGCATTTTTTGTTGTGAAATGGAAATGTAGCCATATGATCCTAAAGCTCAAAGGCGCAGTTGGAGGCAAGGAGCCTTTGATGCTCAGAACCATAACTTCACATTCAGAGAATGGCCGAGGGTGATCTCAGACAGGACCTAGCAAATGAGCTGTCATGAATTCCACTGATTGAAGGCCACCTGCTTCATGTAAATATGGACTGGGGGCTCCGGACCACCTGCGCTGTTTGTGGGCTGGTCAAGATGTGTTACGGAGGGATGCTTCAGAAGGTTTCACTAAATAGCACCTCTGTTGCTTCCTTCGTTGTCAAATCTGACTCATGGTCCACCATGTCTGCTTCCCTATTGATTGAGATATAGCAAATCGTTAAATGGCAATGAGGACGTGTGATAACAATTGCACTTATGTTTCGTTCAGTTCTCATATTTTGAAGTTTAAATGTGTTCAATGAAAGCAATCTTGAGTATAACCACCTTGCCTTTTTGCGCTGTAAAAATGTAGGAGAAACTTCAGAAGAAGATTCATCGACATGGGGGAAATTCAAAGATCTGGACGCTAACGTCTGACTTGAAGCAATATGCGTTTTGTAAAATTGTTTGTGTTGTTTTTAGTGCAGAAATATGTGATAAATAACTGATCCTGCGCATTTCCTAGGATGTTCTGTGTGTCAGTGTAGAGGGTATGTATTGATGAAATTCATGGAATACGTATGGAGTAAATACAAATTCTTAAATATTTTAACTAAAGCAGTTGTCCTATTTGTACTGAATGTTTTTGATGAAGTTTTAACTGATTTATTTTAAGGCAAAGACTGCACCTCCTTAGACTGAAACGATCTCTCTCTAGCTCAAGGTTACTTTGGATGAGTCTAACTCACTCCTGTCCCAATGTTTTTATTGAGAATATTGTGATTCTGTGGTGATTCAAGAGAATTACTCTGACTATAGATTTCCCGCACCCTATCGCTCCAACTGATGATTCCAGGTAGGGGTTTGAGATCAGTAGCTAGTTTTAGGCAATTTTGACAGGACATTGGTTTTACTGTCGGCTCCATATGACTTCTTGAAGTCTGTTCACTGCAGTGTGTTTCAGTCTGTTTTTATCATTTTTATCAATCAACCCATGCCCTCCCACAACTGCTATAAAGTGAATTATACATTTAATTCTGAGTTCATGAGTTTCAGTCCTGGGTGTGGAAGACTGACAGATAACAATAGTTTCAATGCTGCTGTTCCCTTAAATGGGTTAGATCAGCTGTTTAAAATAAGTGGATTTATACAAGTAGGGTCCAGATTTGTTCTTTTAGTAACTTAATTCATAGATAAGTCGATTGATAGACTATTCCCATCTCTGATGGCTTGCAATATTTAATGTAGTGATTTCTGTGTTTTCAGTGGAGGAGAGTAGTTTATTTTTCAGCAATATGGGACCACCTCCCTTGTTTATATGTTTGGTGATTTTTATTTTTGGAGAAAATTAAATGGTTGATCTGAAGTAATCGCAAAGGAAAAGACCAACCCATATATAAAAAAACACTGGAAACATTTGACAGTTGTTGGTGTCTGAAAAAATATATTATTTAGAAAAATAATATGAAACCTTTAACACGAGATTTTATGAAGTTTTTGTTTTAATAGTATCTTTGCCACAGTTGGCAGTCTGGAATGTATTGGTGCTGAGGGGGGCTGCGTTTTTTACTTTTGTGAACTTTGGCTGCTAGACGAATCGCAAAAAGAACAAATTCTCAACAGTTTGTTTTACTTGTTAAACTTATCACGACACTGAAGACCGTGAGCAACACCTCTTACTTGACCTCAATCCACCTTTCCATTACTGTGCTAAAAATGTCTGCTTTTTATGAACTTATACATTAATCGATGGATTGAAGCAGCAATTGAAGCAGGAAATGCACCAACTCATCAAGTTTCATTACGACTGATCACCAAACAACTACTGGTGACTCATCAGAACCCAGTTGACTTCCATAATTAATTCAAATTCTGTGGTCAGGTGACCTTTAGTCTAAAGGTGTAGTTCCAGGGAGCCACAAATCATGACACAGGAAACCACAAAAGGGCATCTTTCTACCCGCAGGTCTGGCACGTGTCAGAGAGATCCGTGCTCACCCTGTACCCAGGGTCAAGCTCAACGCTTCCTTATCAACGATGGAAAACATTCATATCATCACTGGGAACTACATATTTTTTTTTTTTTTTTTTTAAAGGATTCCTGTTCCACTAGAACCAGACCTGCGTGACTTATTTTGCATGTGTTTCCCAATGTCTACTGGTAGGTTTGTGTGACACCACAGGCAAATGAGCACTGAGGTGCACCCCCCCCCCCTCCCCTAATTCCTATCTACAAATTAAAACTGTTTACACACTACTAGGAAGACACCTCATCGTAACATCCTTGAAGTCTGTAACGGGAAGGGGGGATTCCCTTAACCATGTTGGGCAGCCCCTGATGTAAAGCAATGGGATTTCCCTCAGTCTGGCAGCTTGCCCTATAGCAGGAATCCCGACACATTTCCATGTTCTCCCACGGGCCAACATGAAGGGTCCACTGTTCTCTTTCCTGGTGTTCCCTCATGAATTTACAACTGCTTATTTGCTCATGTGTGTTTTTTTTTGTTTTTTTTTTTATAACAGAGTGAAGTAGTCAAATGACTTCTTAATAATACGTTAATGAAAGTATATCCGCTTTTAGTTCCTCCAAATCAAATCATGTACAGTGAAGGAAATAAAACCAGTTTGCACAGTCACTCTCCAGTATATAAATCGAAAATCCAAAATTGTTATTTGACAATTGTATAATACAAAATAGGCATCGATAACAGCTAATTCATTTTTTTAAAATCATTTTATATCATAATATAATATAGTGTCTTGATATAACAATGAAATTTCTTAGGGAAATCAATAATAAAAATTGCATTTAATAAAGCATGAGCATTTTAAATTACTACATTGCTTTACATCAGGGCAGAAACTGTAGAAATCCCCCTTGTTAATTGGGGTAAACAATAAAAATATTGAGATGTAATGTGACAAGCACTGACTCAGGTAAAAAAGGTAAAGTAATATCACAGTCCAACTCAACTGAGAAGATATGTGAAAAATATATTCTGAAATGCCACAACTGTTGCAAATAAAAGTATCTAGCTACTGGTAAAACAGTACACAGAGTCCATGTTATTTTATTCTTGAATAAATTTATTATAAATGTATTCACATAATATTCATGCACATCAGATGAAAATAAATCCAAGGGATGTTGGGGAGATCGATATTCAAGCAATTCTTCAACCATACTGTGAGTAATTCATCATCAAAACCAGTGATTAGTTAAACTTTGATCAACTTAACCTTAAACGGTCTCTTTTCCATGACTAAATAAATTTGAAAAAAAAAAATCCTCTCCCATTATCCAAGCCATTCCCATCACACAACAGTTGCATCTGTACTCTGGAGAAAATGGCTGTTACGTGTTTTAAAAAGTCAATTTGATAAAAACAAAGCTAACATTTCCCCTCACATCTATATCAAAAGCATGGAATATGATAAATGTAACGTGTCATATCATGCACTGTGAGGTAGTTTTAGGAAAATAATGCACTTCGATTTTCCAGTGATCATTGCCAAATGATAAGCATGAGTCTACTGGTGCTTTTCCACTGGCATACAAGAACCAGGCAGTACTGGACCCACACTGCGAAGAGACATCACGATTTATTATGTGCCAGTTTCCACTAGTATGGCTGAGAGAATCGCCGTGTTATGTTAGCGTCAAACACTGATGGAATTAGCATTAGCTTGCATAAATTTGCACTATGAATCCATTCCATTTAGCCATTCTATTGTACTTTTTCAAGTAGCAGGTCGGAAATTTTCCGGTTGAGAATGCATAGACTGAATTGAAAATGCATCCATACATAGTGCAATATGACTAATAATGAATAATTCCAGTTCTTTCTTGTCTCCGAGCATTTCGAGCAGTCAGATAGTGGTGACCAGCTCAGTTTAGTCACACTATCAGCCCTGCTAGTAAGCCTGGTCACGTCAGTGCAGGTACGGGTCAGCTATGGCTCGCATAATTTAATAGTTTAATGGGAAACGGTCTCTTCGCAGTTCGGCTCGGCTACCGCTCAGTTCTTGGTGGCAGTAGGAAAGTGTTATAATTAATAAAAACCTGACTTAGGCCAAATATATATGTGGGACATTGGTCTTCAACCCAGTTTAACCCTAGGCAGTCAGACCACCATTTTTGTTTTCCCTTGCCACCTGCACAATTCATTTTCTACGTCTATCAAGCCCTTGACAAAGCCAGACTGTCTGGGAGGCCCAAAGACTGTTCCAGATTAAGAAGTGCTGTGCTTCTCTCCAGTTTCACCAGCCAGGCATGGAGACAAGAGGCATACAAATGTAAAAATAAAAAGGGGATGGGGGTTCCTCATCCAACAAGGATTTTTTAAAACAGCAGAACACCAGACAGTAAAAAGGCAATGCAGGGACACTGAATTGAAAAAAATAAAATAAAATAAAAATAAATAAATAAATACAGACATAACTGTACAAAAGGCACAATTTTTGATTAGACATAGAATGGCCACCAATATCTCCTCAGCAATATCGAAATATTGAAATACGTCATTTTCCATTCATTCATAAGTAACTCTCTTTGTAGAATCAACAGTTTTATTTTCTACGGGATAAAGATGCGCACGTTCATGATCTCAGCCAAGCAGACGTCTGATAGCAAATAAACCACCCTAAATTTAACAGTATACACAGAAAAACTTCAGTACATTTCAAGTATTTGATATGAATCAACAGGCCAGTGAAATGAATTTCAAAATTAACCGGATGTGTTTTTCCTGAACTGGTATATTTCTGAACACACGTGTACATTTATACCAAATTAAACAGTCAAAGGGGAAAATGAGGAAAAACACAAAGGAAGACGGAAAAAAACAGCACTTTTTGTGTTTCATCAACTAGCTACCCAGTTCCTGAATGTGTAGCTAATACAGTGGTCCAAAGCGTTTGCAGTGCAAAGACATGGAGCTCTTAAAGACAATCTCTCTATCGCAGAACCCAAATTCCATATGCCTCCCAACATACATCTCACCCCAGCTGACCAAAGGGCTCTTTTCCACCGTACTAGGCACCGTACTTTTGGTACTTCAAGAACGTACCAAAAGTACAGTACTTCAAGCTATTGGTTTTCCACTGGCGTAAAAACTGGTACTGGCGCCGAATAACATCACAAGGTATTTGGTACTGAATTCGGATTGTATTGTATTATAATTCCAACATCACATGTTATTTACATGCAGGTCTTACACTGCTAGTTAGCTAGACTGAGATCAGGCTTTTTCTTACCTTCAATACTGTACAGATATTATAGTGCAGAGAGTTCAAGTTTCACTAAAACTTTTGAAATTGTAATGATTATTCCTTTTCAAAATGATCTAGTAGATATTTATAAATCGGTTTAAAATGTACCTCCACTGCTTTTGCATGAGCGCTGCATGCTTTTCAGAGCCAATCATAATCATTTTCATACTTGCTGTTTAAGTCACTCCTAGACGGGTTTGTGAGTAGATTTATATTGAACAACTTACTTTATAAATACCTAAATATGTATTACAACAAAATCATATTGCGATCCTAGTAGCTATATTATGCAAAATACTCTATTCCTTGTCATGCCATCCTGATCTTATTGTATATGTTTTTAGATTTAAGCTTTGATCTCTTCATTTGTCCGCTCTCTCTCTCTCTCTCTCT